AGTTCGAGGGGAAAATGTGCATTGAAGTTCCTGAAGGAATTGGGGGACAAGTTGATCATTGCTACAAAAGACAAGAGAGCAAAAAGTTTCTTGTTCCAGCGCCTCAGTGTTGTAATTCAGAGGGGGGAATGCCTGTTGTGTCTTGGGCACTAGTCGAACTTCAGAGGAATTTGAAGAAGTGTTTGACTTGCAACAATGATCGAACACGTCTGTGACATTCATCAGTGTTTCTCCTTATATATATATATATATATATATATATATATATAACTGAAAACTCACACCCCAGATGTGACTCGAACCCATACTGCCAGGAGCAACGCAACTGGTATGTACAGGGACGCCTTAATCCGCTTGACCATCACGACCGGACATAATGAGGTGATAGCCGAGGCTATTTGAACCACCCCACCGCCGGCACTCGGATAGTAATCTTGGGCATAGCATTTTACCAAATCACCTCATTCTTTGGGGCACATGTGAGGAACACAAATGCGAACAAGCCTGAATGGTCCCCAGGACATTATGCAACTGAAAACTCACACCCCAGAAGTGACTCGAACCCATACTCCCAGAAGCAACGCAACTGGTATGTACAAGACGCCTCAATCCACTTGACCATCACGACCGGACATAATGAGGTGATAGCCGAGGCTATTTGAACCACCCCACCGCCGGCACTCGGATAGTAATCTTGGGCATAGCATTTTACCAAATCACCTCATTCTTTGAGGTGTGTGTACTTTTAAGGTGAAGAAAAGAAGTGATTTACTATAGACGGATTAAGGCGTCTTGTACATACCAGTTGCGTTGCTTCTGGGAGTATGGGTTCGAGTCACTTCTGGGGTGTGAATTTTCAGTTGCATAATGTCCTGGGGACCATTCAGGCTTGTTCGCATTTGTGTTCCTCACGTGTGCCCCAAAGAATGAGGTGATTTGGTAAAATGCTATGCCCAAGATTACTATCCGAGTGCCGGCGGTGGGGTGGTTCAAATAGCCTCGGCTATCACCTCATTATGTCCGGTCGTGATGGTCAAGTGGATTAAGGCGTCTTGTACATACCAGTTGCGTTGCTTCTGGGAGTATGGGTTCGAGTCACTTCTGGGGTGTGAGTTTTCAGTTGCATAATGTCCTGGGGACCATTCAGGCTTGTTCGCATTTGTGTTCCTCACGTGTGCCCCAAAGAATGAGGTGATTTGGTAAAATGCTATGCCCAAGATTACTATCCGAGTGCCGGCGGTGGGGTGGTTCAAATAGCCTCGGCTATCACCTCATTATGTCCGGTCGTGATGGTCAAGTGGATTGAGGCGTCTTGTACATACCAGTTGCGTTGCTTCTGGGAGTATGGGTTCGAGTCACTTCTGGGGTGTGAGTTTTCAGTTGCATAATGTCCTGGGGACCATTCAGGCTTGTTCGCATATATATATATATATATATATATATATATATATATATATATATATATATATATATATATATATATATATATATATATATATATATATATGTCGTACCTAGTAGCCAGAACTCACTTCTCAGCCTACTATTCAAGGCCCGATTTGCCTAATAAGCCAAGTTTTCCTGAATTAATATATTTACTATAATTTTTTTTCTTATGAAATGATAAAGCTACCCTTTTCACTATGTATGAGGTAAATTTTTTTTTATTGGAGTTAAAATTAACGTAGATATATGACCGAACCTAACCAACCCTACCTAACCTAACGTAACCTATATATATAGGTAAGGTTAGGTTAGGTAGCCAAAAAAAGCTAGGTTAGGTTAGGTTAGGTTAGGTAGGTTAGGTAGACGAAAAAACATTAATTCATGAAAACTTGGCTTATTAGGCAAATCGGGCCTTGCATAGTAGGCTGAGAAGTGAGTTCTGGCTACTAGGTACGACATATTTATATATATATATATATATATATATGTCGTACCTAGTAGCCAGAACGCACTTCTCAGCCTACTATGCAAGGCCCGATTTGCCTAATAAGCCAAGTTTTCCTGAATTAACATATTTTCTCTAATTTTTTTCTTATGAAATGATAAAGCTACCCATTTCATTATGTATGAGGTCAATTGTTTTTTATTGGAGTTAAAATTAACGTAGATATATGACCGAACCTAACCAACCCTACCTAACCTAACCTAACCTATCTCTACAGGTTAGGTTAGGTTAGGTAGCCGAAAAAGTTAGGATAGGTTAGGTTAGGTAGGTTAGGTAGTCGAAAAACAATTAATTCATGAAAACTTTGCTTATTAGGCAAATTGGGCCTTGCATAGTAGGCTGAGAAGTGCGTTCTGGCTACTAGGTACGACATATATATATATATATATATATATATATATATATATATATATATATATATATATATATGTCGTACCTAATAGCCAGAACGCACTTCTCAGCCTACTATGCAGGGCCCGATTTGCCTAATAAGCCAAGTTTTCATGAATTAATTGTTTTTCGGCTACCTAACCTACCTAACCTAACCTAACCTAACTTTTTCGGCTACCTAACCTAACCTATAAAGATAGGTTAGGTTAGGTTAGGTTAGGTAGGGTTGGTTAGGTTCGGTCATATATCTATGTTAATTTTAACTCCAATAAAAAAAAGTTGACCTCATACATAATGAAATGGGTAGATTTATCATTTCAAAAGAAAAAAATTAGAGAAAATATATTAATTCAGGAAACTTGGCTTATTAGGCAAATCGGGCCCTGCATAGTAGGCTGAGAAGTGCGTTCTGGCTATTAGGTACGACATATATATATATATATATATATATATATATACATATATATATATATATATACATATATATATATATATATATATATATATATATATATATATATATATATATATATATATATATATATATATATATATATATATATATATATATATGTCGTACCTAATAGCCAGAACGCACTTCTCAGCCTACTATGCAAGGCCCGATTTCCCTAATAAGTCAAGTTTTCCTGAATTAATATATTTTCTCTAATTTTTTTCTTATGAAATGATAAAGCTACCCATTTCATTATGTATGAGGTCAATTTTTTTATTAGAGTTAAAATTAACGTAGATATATGACCGAACCTAACCATCCCTACCTAACCTAACTTAACCTATCTTTATAGGTTAGGTTCGGTTAGGTAGCAGAAAAAGTTAGGTTAGGTCAGGTTAGGTAGGTTAGGTAGTCGAAAAAACATTAATTCATGAAAACTTGGCTTATTAGGCAAATCGGGCCTTGCATAGTAGGCTGAGAAGTGCGTTCTGGCTACTAGGTACGACATATATATATATATATATATATATATATATATATATATATATATATATAAATATATATATATATATATATATATATATATATATATATGTATATATATATATATATATATATATATATATATATATATATATATATATATATATAAATGTGTGTGTACTCACCTAGTTGTACTCACCTAGTTGTGCTTGCGGGGTTGAGCTCTGGCTCTTTGGTCCCGCCTCTCAACCGTCAATCAATAGGTGTACAGGTTCCTGAGCCTACTGGGTTCTATCATATCTACACTTGAAACTGTGTATGGAGTCAGCCTCCACCACATCACTTCCTAATGCATTCCATTTGTCAACCACTCTGACACTAAAAAAGTTCTTTCTAATATCTCTGTGGCTCATTTGGGCACTCAGTTTCCACCTGTGTCCCCTAGTGCGTGTGCCCCGTGTGTTAAATAGCCTGTCTTTATCAACCCTGTCGATTCCCTTGAGAACTTGAATGTGGTGATCATGTCCCCCCTAACTCTTCTGTCTTCCAACGAAGTGAGGTTTAATTCCCGTATTTGTGTGTGTGTGTGTGTGTGTGTGTGTGTGTGTGTGTGTGTGTGTGTGTGTGTGTGTGTGTGTGTGTGTGTGTGTGTGTGTGTGTGTGTGTGTGTGTGTGTGTGTGTGTGTGTGTGTACGTGTGTGTGTGTGTGTGTATTTATCTCATGGCCTGTTATTATTACCAGAATTTATTGGTAAATAAATTGGTAAAAGTTGGTTATTGGTAAAAATGATGATGAATTAACATTTACATTATTAAGGTACTGACTAGGTCCGATATTTGTTGTAGCCATGAAAATATTGGCTATACTGGGGCGCGTGTAAGTTATAATATATTTTTAATAATAATATTTTAAAAAGGCGTCAAGGAAACACAGCGGTTTGACAGATCAGTTGTTGACTCGAGGGCAGTGATAACTTGGTTGGTGTTAATATTTATATTTCTCTCGTGACCTGTCTCTATGGCAGGGGCCGTCCGGTGTAGATTGGCGGGGTTTACCAGGGAGGGGCGGGCCGGTGTAGATGGGCGGGGTTTACCAGGAAGGGGCGGGCCAGTGTAGTAGGGCGGGGTTTACCAGGGAGGGGTGGGCCGGTGTAGATGGGCGGGGTTTACCAGGGAGGGGCAGGCTGGTGTAGATGGGCGGGGTTTACCAGGGAGGGGCAGGCTGGTGTAGATGGGCGGGGTTTACCAGGGAGGGGCGGGCCGGTGTAGATGGGCGGGGTTTACCAGGGAGGGGCGGGCCGGTGTAGATGGGCGGGGTTTACCAGGGAGGGGCGGGCCGGTATTGACAGACGGGATTTTCCGGAGTGCGGTGGGCTGGTGTACACACAGAGGGGACCGGAGGGAGAACGAAGGGGGAAGAGAGGGAGGATAAAGGCACCAGAGTGGTGGTGGAGAGGGGGAGGATGAAGGCACCAAAGTGATGTGGGAGAGGGATAGAATAAAGTGGGGATAAAAGACCCATACAGTTGTTTCAGTCCTTCCTAATAATATATCTTCTGAGAAAATGGGAAGAGGGAAAAAAGTAGGGGAGTTAGAGGGGACAAAGGGGGAGGGGTAAAAAGTTGTTTTACTTTTAAAAGGTTAAATTTTATAGGCTTACAAAAGACGTTTCAACGCTTTATAATATTAACTTTTAATGGGACAATAAAGAATATATCTTACAATTGGGGCTGGCGGTCGGAGTTCTCCATTGGCATTGCTGAAGAAAAAGGGCTGAGATGAGGTGTGGCCCGTTGTTGACTGAGGCGCTGCAAGATGTGTCACACCGGGAGCCGCACCCTCGCTGCTGATATGCTTCTTCCTATTACTTGAAGAAGCGAAGACATGTATCATGTAAATTAAACGGTTAAGGAAAATTGGATTATATAATTATATAGATATAGTGAACCTTATCACTTTTCCTATGAATACGTATGTGTAAAAATGAAGTTCAGATCCCTGCATATGTGGTTGGGTGGGGTTGTGGAAGAGAAAAAGTAATGCCCATTAACCCCTCGGGGTAATAGAGGTTAGGTTGGGATGGGATAGTTGTATTCTAGGAATAAGATGCCATATATTGAACCAAGATCTTCTTATCTGAAGTTGGGGCTTGATCGGTTGGGTTGATGCAAAAAAAAAAAAAAAAAAAAAATCACTTCCGCAAAAATATAAGGTGCTTAAATTGACGTGTTGTCAAGGCAGGATAGCTTCGGGGCTGCTGAGTCCATGTCCAAAAAACAAAAACATTGCCAGGAATATTCGGCAAAGATCCTCGCAGGTTAGGCACAGGATAGTTGGGTTCATATAAAAAACTCTTTTCACTTGCCCAAAACACTGTGCGTATTTGTGACTTTAGGTATTGTATGTACTAGCTCTATCTATAAATCCAAAATTATGTTTGTAACTCATCATCTTTATGTACGTATGTACTTTTACCTGACTAAACATTTTTATTTTTATTTTTTATTTTGAAGAACATAAATACAATACTTGACAAAGATCCAAGCGGGTTAGGTACGGGTCAGGTCATTTAGGTTTACACACAAAGTAAACCCTTTCTCAACAATGAATTCACAATATTCAGCAAAGAACCACACAAGTTAGGCACGAGGCAGTTAGGTTTATAGCTAAAAATTATCACTTTTGACAAGAATATGTTGCATTAAAGGTTCGGCCCTTGGTAGATAAGTTATGGTAATGTGAGGAAAATGCAAATGAAGTTTGGTTGAGGTCTAACTGATGAAGAGAAAAAGGGCCATTATCCCCCTAGGTAATAGAGGTTAGGTTGGTAGTATCCTAAGAATAAGATGCCATATATGGAACCAAGATCTTGGTATCCGGGGTTAGGATCCAGGGCGGTTGGGTTGATGATAAAAAAATTACTTTCCCCCAAACAATAAGGTGCATTGATTGATGTCAGGTCAAGGCAGGTTAGCTTCGGGGTTATTGAGTAAATAACCGAAAAAATTGCCATGAATAGAATGGCAATTTTAACCTGCGCAAAGATCCCCGCAGGTTAGTCACAGGATAGTTGGGTTCATATCCAAAACGAGCACTTTTCTTAGAATATAAAACTAATATTTAACAGAGATCCAAGCAGATTAGGTACGGGTCATTTAGGTTTATGCCTCTCTGAACAAAAAAATCGCAATATTCAGCAAAGAACCTCATAGGTTAGGCACAGGGCAATTAGGTTTATAGCCAAAACTACCACACACTCCCAGTTACAGGCTAGGATAAGGAAAATTGGATTATTTAATGGTATTGTTATAGTGAATTTTGTCACTTTTCCTAAGAATATGTATACAAATGGAGTTCGGATCCATGCATTTGAAGTTGGATTGTGGTTGAAACTAATGTAGAGAAAAATGCCCATTAACCCCCCAGGTAATAGAGGTTAGGTTGGGATAGGTTGGCTGTATCCTAAGCATATAATATCATATATGGAACCAAGATCTTGGTATTGAAGGTTGGGTGCCAGGTCTGTTGGGTTGATGCAAAAGACATAACTTTCTCTAAAAATAAGGTGCATTAATTGACATCGGGTCAAAGGCAGGTTTACTTTAATGCTGTTGAGTCCATAACCAAAAAAAAAAAAAAAAAAAAAAAAAATTGCCAGGAATATTCAGCAAAGATCCGCGCTAGTTAGGCACAAGGTAGTTGGGTTCATATCCAAAACGAGCACTTTTCTGAGAATATAAATACAATATATAACAAAGATCCAAGCAGGCTAGGTACGGGTCATTTAGGTTTATACCCCAAAAAATTAGGCTTTTAGTTGTGCAATGACACGGTAAACCCCCAGAATATAATATATTTTGGCCGAAAAGAAAAAAGAGGTCTTGCAAGTTGTGACATTGGAGAAATATTGGGAGGGATACATACGTCGGGCGACAAGCGGGCGCGTCCAGCGAGTAAGAAAGAGGCCGTGGTTGCGGCCGTGGTTGCGGCCGTGGTTGCGGCCGTGGTTGCGGGCTGGGGTGCAGGGACGGTGACCCCGAAATCATCGCGAGGTAATGGAGGAGAGTGCCGAGCCATTTACTATGCTGGTTGGGAAAGGATAAGGAACGGCGGGAAAAAGAAAAATATGTTCAATAGCTTAGATGTTGAAAACTGAACACAGACCCGCATGACTTGCTCTGTCATCTCGCCTGAGTGATTGGGGCAAAATGATTCAATTTCTTTATTTCTTTGTCATGCGCCCTATACCCATCCCGTGGGCAATGGAGGAAAGTATTCGAGAGGCACATAATCGGTTTGGAAACTGAACCCCATAGATCGTTTAGCTAGGCAATTGACAATCTCTTGAAAGCTAGTAACACAAGTGTCACTGCTAAATTCACATGTACATATATATACCCACACCCATGTACACAGACACATATTCAAATCATTAATCTTTTTACATCACAGATATTCAAAAAGAGGCTTGTAACGGTATCTGTGCAAGGCATTTTTACATCAATGGCAAGTCCCGCAGCTGCTAGTCTCGCTCCACACCCACCTAACTGTGGCGTCACGTGCATCCTTCACCTACAGCAAGCAAATATTTTGAATACTTCGCTAAGATTCCTGGCAGAGCGTCATTATAAATTAAGTACTTGCACATTTCTTGGACTCCATTGATGGTGTTATCTCTGAATTCTGCAATTTTTTTCGCATTCCATTATATAAGTAAGTGAATAATTAAACCTGCTCAATGAATTTGTGTTAGTTTGCGAATGTAATTGCATGGGTTTGCATAAGTTTTTGAGAATATAGATGGCGCCTGACAGCTGAGTGGACAGCGCTTCGGATTCGTAGACCTGAGATTCCGGGCTCGATCCCCGGTGGAGGTGGAGACAAATGGGCAAAATGTTTCTTTCACCCTGATGCCCCTGTTACCTAGCAGTAAATAGGTACCTGGGAGTTACACAGCTGCTACGTCTACTTCCTGGGGGGGGGGGGGTTGTAACAAAAAGGAGGCCTGGTCGAGGACCGGGCCGCGGGGACGATGAGCCCCGAAATCATCTCAAGATGCTAGTTTAGTTCCTTTATTTGGTATCCCATACACATCTTGTGGGGCGGGTAGTGGAAAGAGCTAGTGGCGGGTAATTGACTCTGGGACTGAACCCCACAATTCATTTGGCTCGAGCAAGAAAACAAAAACACAAAAATGTATAAACAAAATTGCTAAATTGAATTTGTGCTAGTTCGCGAATGTGATTGTAAGGGTTTTTTGCACAAGTTTGAGAATATAATTGAATGTTTGTTTAGTTCGTTTATTATGCATCCCATACCCATTATGTGGGCGATAGTGGAAAGGGCTACAGAGATGCATAATGGGACTCAGGAACTGAATCCCACACAATTTATTTAGCGAAAGCAAGTTTTTTGCAATCTTGATGAGCTAGTTTGCAAAATCTTATGCACATCGTCACTCAGAGACAATGGGGCACGAGACAGACCATAAGTTCAGTTTTCTAAGTTAAACAACTGGCATATCTAGTGAGATAGTGTCACAATTGACATGTTTTTTATCCGGCATACTGCGCCTCCCCCCCTATAACCAGCGGGCAATCTTGAGATGATTTCGAGTGTCCCCGCGGCCCGGTCCTCGACCAGGCCTCCACCCCCAGGAAGCAGCCCGTGACAGCTGACTAACACCCAGGTACCTATTCCACTGCTAGGTAACAGGGGCATAGGTGAAAGAAACTCTGCCAATTGTTTCTCGCCGGCGCCCGGGAGAAAAAGGATCACAAGTCCAGCGTGCTGTCCGCTCGGCCGACCGGCTCCCGGGCTGTGGCCGGATGGGTTACAATTGCTCAGTTACTGCCCAACAGTTGGTCAGGGGCGAGATACAGCTCTCATTTAGATAAATGTACTATATCCAAAAAACTTGGACGTTGGGAACTGAATGCGGGCCTGCACGGAAGTGGCTCTGCAGTCTGGTGTAAATGAGGAGAACTAGATGAGTGAGAGGAAATCAAAATGTGAGTTGGGAAGATAGAGAGATAAATAAACATGGAGATAGGATGGGAAATCAAGAGAGAAACTTATGAGTAAAGATATTTCAAAGGTTTTCTCAAACTTTAGATCTCTTTAACAAGAGAGTACAAAAATATTAAAATTTATAATATATATTTTGTTATTTAAGTGGAAATAGATACTAGCTAGCACTAAGGACGCCAGCCGAACCTGGTTTATTAAAATATATTATTATGAATGCGCTAAAGTATGTATGTAATATTTATTATAAAACCATTATAATTCACTATTTTTCTTCATTATAATAGACACTTTATATGGCAAATATAGTGTCAATATAAATTTGTTCATAGTTTACTCATCTATATAAATATAAATGTTAATGTTCATTCGTTCAAAATCGCTAATCTACGAAAGTTCTTCACTGATTGGTTTGAAATTTTCACACAATGTTCCAAACGCATCCGAGCCGGTTTTTATGTACATCTATATAAATAAAAATGAAAATGTTCGTTTGTTCAAAATCGCTAATCTCCGAAAGTTCTTCACCGATTGCTTTGAAATTTTCACACAACATTCCATTCGCATTCGAGCGGGTTTTTATATACTTACTATATAGATGTCATGTCTGTGACGGGGAAAAACATGCTATTTTTCATGAAAAACACATTTCACTTGTTTTTCATGCGAGGGAAATCTTCGAAACCTCTTTACCGATTACTTTGAAATTTTGACACCGCGTTGCATTTGAATAGGTGAGTGTTTTTATATACCTACTATATACATGCCTCACCTGTGACAGGAAAAACATCCTTTTTTTGAAAAACAGCACCATCTGTTGGTCGTAAGAGCAATACAC